TGTTCAAAGTAGCTCCCATAATTTACAAGTACTCTGAAAAACAACTGGATTTGTTGGTGGCTCAGCACCATTTGGGTCTTAGGCTATCTTGAATTAGCCATGTACAAGATAATCAGTTTCAAGTTATGCCAGAGAAAAGCTCCAATCTGGTGTTAATAGAGAGGCTAAAGACATAAGTTATCTAGATTTATATCCATGATCCAGGAGAACTTTGTTCCATTTCATTGCTGAACACTTCAAAATTTGCAACTTCCCTTCACTTCTGTGAGGAAATAATACATTTGCTTAAAATTCAACCTGCAGGTTTGGCCAAGGTGTACTCCATTCCTTCCGGAGGGGGCCTACATTCTCCTTGGAATACACATTGTACTCAAATGTTCTTTGGTGCCATTCAGCTTAAACAAGCAAAATAACATTCTCTGACAGTTACTCTACTGCAACAGATAATTTCACCTCCTATTTATTGCTTCTGTCCTGCTGCAAGACTGGAGAGCCATAGCAGGGATCTAGTATGTAGCTAAAGTATTTTGCATTGCCAAAGGGATTCTCCCCCATCTCACAAAGAAGAACAGGGAGCCAAAATGATTGCAGAGAAAGTGTATAAGGGAAAGTACATGCCCAAAAATTGCTTCCAGTTCTTAAATCATTGTGCCATTGGAGAGTTGGAGGTCTAAACTTTGTTGCTCCTCCTTTTTTCTACTTTTCATTAATCTGCTACTAGACTTCAAGGAGAACAATCCGATGCCAAAGTTTACTCCATCTTTTGTTATCATTTCATCTAATTACAAACAGGCATTTTTTCTTCTGCTTCCAAGTATCTCAGTTTCATTGCAATACCTCCACAGAAGCAGTGTGGCAGGTTATTTCTCTCCTCATGAACAACATCAAGAAAAGTTTGAGATGCAGCTGTCACGTAGCATTAAAAAGAACCATATTGCAAGCCAACTTGTACACTAGGGGAAAAAAAAGTCAGCTTTGTAGAAGAAAACAAAGTGTCCAATACTTGCCTCTTGCTCCCCTGAAAAGGATTTTGTAGTGCTTCTCTAGCCTCTTGGCCATATAGTTTGCATTTAGTATGGCAATCTCAGAAGCATGTTTCAGACCCTTTGCTCCCATTGTCTGAAAGAGGAATAACATGGAGAAACAGGTTTAAAAAGACTCCCAAGTAAGCTAAGTGTGTTCCTGTGCTGTCAAGCGTGGTAGACAACAGCACCTCAATGCATCTGGCTAGTTTTAAGGCACACACGCTGCTATTACGCTTTTCCACACTACACTCACAGAAAAACCACTGGTACCACTTGAGAGCAACTCTGGTGTACATACTTGATGAGACTGCTTACTGGATAAGAGGTTTTGCCTGAAGTCAACAAGTGAGCAACCCAAGCCTCTCCTCAAACTGAGAAGTTCTGAAGTGAGCAGAACTCAAGAATGTCATCAGCACACCTGAAAGAACTGCAGACTCTGCCTGTTACCATCCTTGTCCCAGGGGAAAGCGTATCCAGAGAGCTGCCCAAAGACCTATGTGTGCTGTCTGTACAAATTATCCCACCAACTCAAACTCTGCTTGCTGGTGTCACATCACAGATGGTACCGTGAATTAACAAAGATCAGAGCCAAATGAACACAAATGCACTTATTTCTCTGTTAAAGCATTGGAAAAGGACAGTGCTAGAATTGAGCTGTGGTTGGATTTCTTAATAGTGCACTTAGAAGTTAAGCCAAAACAGCCTTCAAGGTAGCCCCTTTAGGTGGAACAGTGTAAGCAGATCGCTTTTTGCATTGCGAAGAAACAGCTTCCCTTAAAAATTTACTACTGTTTAAATATTCTGTAATAGGAACCAGCTCACAGCTGCAAGTGATTTTTGCCCACAGCTGAAAAGCCACCATGGAAGTTGTACCAGCTCACATTTGCTCGTTTCAAACTCCAGAAGAGCTGGTTTCCCTTGGAGCCCAAGTTTCCATGGTTGGAGTATCAAACTGGCTACAGGGTATGCCGAATGACACTGCCCTTATGTTCACCACTCCAGCCCTTTCTTTCACTGCAGGCTTTAAACGTCGCTCAGCATTCCAGCACACTCTTTTCTCAAACAGAATTTGAATCTACACTTGTGTCTGTTGGCTGAATACCTCCATATATGTAACTAAATATTTGCACGCAACGCATTAAAAAATTACGTAGATCGTGATCAAGCTGTCGCACATCCCAAACCAAAACTAAGTTCAGTTTCCAAATTCAGTAAAATGCTCTGGAATTCAAATTCTTATTAAACAGATTTTGGAAAGTTAAATGTCACATATAGGTCAACCATATGCAGTATATATACTGCAGCATAAACCGAAATATTCTTGGAAGAACAGTAACTACACCAAGCAGCTTTTAAACATGAAAATTTCAGCATTAGAGACAGTGGAGGGGCAAGCCCAACTGCAGCTTTCTGCCTTGAGTCCACTTGTCTCAGGAATTATTACAGACAAGGGACAGAAGAATTAAGCAGGCTGCATAGATAGAGCAGTTGCCCTGCCATCCTTCCCTATTGCAACAGATGGCAACAGGCTGTTCCCCTGTCCTATTGAAAAACAAGGAGGTTCAAAGGATGTAAGCACCCTATGACCATGCTGTAGTCATATGCATTTCAGTCTGTGCAAACATCTTACGTCGAGTTGCTCTTAAAGCCGTTCAGGTGGTCCTCAGATTTGCTGAAACAGAAACAGACCCTCAGCTGATACTCCTTATAAAAGTCTACACACCTTGATGTACACCCAGGAAATTGGCAATATAGCACTGGAACCCCAAGGTGCAGCACTGACAGTACCCAAAGGACACGCATCCTTATCCGGCTGTGTTTTGATGACAGGGTGGGTAGGCAAGTAGGGAGCCAAATGTTTCTTCCTAAAACAAAAACATTGCTTTTAGACCTTAAACGTCTGTTCCTCTGTTACCATTTCTGGACAGTTTTAGCAGTAGCTTCTCTTCACTTTCCTTCCAAATACAGTCCTCCAGGAATTCTGATCCGTGTCTTCTTCACCAGAAAGTTTATTAACATAGCTGGTGACAAAGGAGGATGGCCCTCAGTTTTTGCCCTACGAACAAAGTACTCACGCAGCTATCCAAATCAAAATGATTTTTCAAAAAGAGGAAGATTACTTTCTTTTCAAGGCATATGATTGCCCTCTAAGAGAGATTCACATAGTTCATGTACCACTTCTGTGTTCCAGACTATGTACAATATCAGCCCTGAAGTCCACAGATCTGCATTTACTCAGAAAACAGACTGCTGGGCGAGGTCTACGATGCGCAGCAAAGGGCTCAGATGAAAGTCAGGGCTCGGGAATACACGTGACCCTCACCATTCCCGAGATCAGCACACGACTGTCCTGGAGAAGGACAAAAGTTTACAAGCCACAGTACACCTCTCCCGTTCATGGCTCTGCACTTAAGTGAACTGTCAACCAAGATTCACTAAGGGATTTTCTTTTTTAAAGAAAAGGCTAATAAAGAGATACCCACACTCCAATTGGTCCCATTCCAGGTCCTCCTCCTCCATGGGGAATGCAAAAGGTTTTGTGAAGATTTAAGTGAGAGACATCAGAACCATAATCTCCAGGACGACACAGACCCACCTGTGAAAGGAATACTGTCTCAAAATATTCTTTACATGCCATTTTAAGACCTATTAGTTCATTCAAGAAAAATAGGTTGAAAAGGATATTATAGTTTTTCTGGTTTTCTTTAACATGATGCTTCATAAACAAGAACTGATGCAAAAAATTTTTTGCTTTAGGAATTCTTATTCATGTCTGTAAAGAATGTCCTTGGCAAAGACTAGGTAGACTAAGCCAACAACTCATACATCTTACAACATATTTCAGGGCAAAATCAGACAAAAGACAATTATTTTCACCACCTAATTTTTATTACTGTTCTTGGAAACCTCACCTCCTCCTCCAAACACTGTGCCATCTTGTGAGGAAGCTGTGTTACAGTCTGAACTGGGTACTACTGCGCTACTTTTATTCCAAGGAAACACACACTTCCAGTTGTAATAAATCCACCTAGGAGACTTTGTACCTGGGCATTCATATTTGCTCCGTCTAAGTAAACCTGGCCTCCATGTTTGTGAATCAGGTCACACACGTCTCCAATGTCTTCTTCAAACACACCGTTCGTGGAAGGGTACGTGATCATGATGGCTGCCAAGTTCTCTTTGTGCTTGTCCACCTGGTGGCAAGGAGGGAGAGAGAAAAAAAGGTCGTTGAGGCTCCTAAAGTGTCTCAAGAGAAGATTTTTACAAAAACATGTAACTAAGGTCATCGAGTGTTTTACAGGTGAGAAGCAAGTCTATCAGCAGGTAGTCTAAGTCATTTACAGTCAGCAAGAGATACTGGGCTCTTTCCTTTAGCAATACGTATAGAAAAGAGAGTTTTCTCAATAAATCAGAACTTCAAGTCAGGGAAGAAGGCATGGTATTGAAAGACATATGTATAATAGTCAATTCTGGGACCTTAAGAGAAGCCAGGTGAAACATCTGGCCTTCAAGGCCATGATCTAATGACCATCCCCCTACTTTCAGCCAATACAGTTCTATGACTACCACAAAAGCCTGCTCAAATATGTATTTTTGGAAATGTGTCCTGCTAATCCCTTGGATTCTCAAGATTCACCTGCAGCAAATCCACTCAAAAAAGTGAAACAAGTTGCCTAGCAACACCTTCCCCAGCAGAGGTGGGCTTGAACTTCACTAAGCGAAGGCTGAAGTGCAGTTTCAAACACTTCACGCTCATGAACATGCTTCATTCATTTCAGATACTAGAGGTAGACCAAAACGGTCTGCTATAAAAGAGCCTACTGTGTAGAAAGATTCTCTGAGCCATTCCTGCACCAAAGATCCTCAAATTAAAGGAAATCTGACAAATGTCACAGGGCTAGTGTCTGAGTGAGAGAAAAAAAGAAAAAATTACTTATCCTTTTCAAGCACGTATTCACTATTATTGCCCTATTTTCTATCAAAGAAAAATCTGATGCAGCTGCCAACACTATTATCTGTAGAGGAGAAGGAGTGTTCCTGCCTTGAAAATTAAAGATAATTAAATACTCACCATTGCTTTTAAATGGGAGATATCAATGCTCCCATTTTTATCCACTTCAATGGGCTGAATCTTCATCCCTGCCATTTGTGCACTTGCTGGATTTGTACCATGAGCAGATTTAGGAATAAGGCAAACCTTAGAAGGGAGAAAGAAGCAGGGGCTGAAGTATAACTAGTTAAAAAATATTAAAGTGTTATGGTCTACGCTCAGCTACAACTCATTATCAAAGTTTTCAAAAAGGATCCAGAGGAAAAGTTTACCAACAAATTGCCACTTGTACTGCAGGATGCAACTCAATTGTCTTTGAAGAAAATCCATTCAAGTATCAGCATCTAAATACTCATTAGGAAAATAAATTTTAATTTGCTGCATAAATCATATTAGGGATGCAGCTCCAGAATATTATCTCAGATGCTCACATTTAAAATCCTTTCCTCTCCCCTCTTTTTTTTTTTAAAGGTTTCTTTTTACAGGAATCAATGTCCATACGTACAATGACTTGAAAGGAAAAACTATCTAAAATTCCAACTTTCCACTGCACCTTCAGCTGACTTCCAAAGTATTTTCTTCTGTGTTCTATCCAAACCAAAAATTTAGACTGAAATATTTTGGCTATAGCTAAGAAGTTTCAGACAGCTACTTATATGTTCTAAACAGTTTGTTTAAAAAGAGAAAAAGATAAATACTTTTACTTAAATAAATGTAGGTTCTTGTTAGCGATAGCTATGAAAATGGAGCTCAAGATATAGCCATACATTTGCTAGGATCTCCACCCCTTCTAAAGACAATAAATATATCTTCTCTAAAAAAATCCTTCGATTTCAATATCCTCTATTCGATGAGGATATTGAAACAGTCTATTGTGATTCTCTTGGAAGGACTAATTTAACTTAGTTTATTAAGGAAGTTACTCAAACTTAGCTGCACTAATTACCTGACAGTAAGGCACTTTGTTTTCATGAGAAACTGCACGATTGTCTCTACATCATGTTCCATACGGATGCTGAGACAAACGTTAATTGTTTTAGAAGCTACTCCCAGGAGCTGACCCATCTGTCTCAGCACTGGGATGTTTGCTCTTCTTGCAGGGAACCATCAACGTTGTTTTGCTGCGCTGAAAGGAAACAGAAGGATCCCAGCCCTGGTGCTGGGAAGCGCTGCGGCACATCCCTAGTCATGTTAGCTGCCCAGCAGGAACGCAAAGCGAGCCTGGATTGCCACCCAGTCTTGCCAGGTTGCCTCTGGAGCTGCTGGGCACAGCAGTTGCTGACCAGAGCGGGCAGATGTGAGCGGTCAGTCGGGCAGATGTGAGCGGCCAGTTAACGCCGATGCTTTTTTCCCAGGAGAGGGCACCAAAGCTCGATCCGCTGCTTTACTTACTTGTACTAGCCCAGCAGAAAAGGTCACTTCAGTTTAAAGGTCAACATTTTGTGGGCTTTCTTCTTTTCCTTTTTTCTCCCCTTTTTCCCAAGATTATCTTGATTTTACTACAACATTTGAAACCCGTTACGTGTAAGTAACGGCAGGCAGCCCGCGGACTCTCTCTCCTGTGCAGTTCACCTCCGGGTGTTTCTGACCACAGAAGGACCATAGCCAGTCACAGAAGCCCAAGGATGTTGCACAGAATAAGAGAAACTGCAAAGCATACACGGGTAATAAGAAGACAGCTGTCCCAGGAATAAAATTTCAACCTAATTTCACTTCCCGACGAGTAAAACTATTCGCCAAACAAAACTTATAATTGTAAAGAGTGACGATTTTCAAGAAGTTTGAAGTGATCTGGATGCAACAAAGAAACAACAGAACACGACAACACTTGCTGTTCAACTTTAGACAGTCTCCTCACACTGAGGTTATGGTTCCCAGGAGGTCAGAACAACGTCCCTTCCATTCTGAGCAGGCAAATGAGTTCCAAAGTCAAGTTTAAAATCAGGTTCAGAAAATATGGACATTATTGTACTGAGGACTTTTTTCCCACCATTTAAAGCCAACTCTATGAGTGTGTGAAAGGGGATGATCTAACTAATCTCAGATTTCCAAGAAGTCTTTGATGTGGTCCCAAAAAGTGTTCCTAAACTGATTTCCACTGGGATAAGTAGGAAGGTTCACATGCATAAATATTTCACAAAAACATAAGCAAGCAATGAAAAGGTAAAGAGTCACCTTTTACTGTGGAGGAAGGGCATCGTAATGGAACGTTATAAATATCCATGGTGGGCCCCTAGTATATCAACTTACTCATAACTGGTTTCTAAAGGAGACACACAGTGAAATGCCAAATATCCTGTTAATACAAAATCCTCCAGGTTACAAAAAGAACTGATTGCGTAGTTCAGAAAAGAACACACAGTACCCAGCATTCCAAACAGAGTACACTGGAGCCAGACAGATCGAGAACATTACACAAGACAACAAATCTTAACAATACACAACTGGGATCGTAGCTCCGAACCTATCGCCACTCAAAAGACCTCACAGTGCTGGGGGAAAGAACAAGCAACTGCATTAAAAACTAGAAAGGAAATCGAGAACAAAGAAAAGGAACACAGGAGATGTGAGGATAACCAAAGCTATGAGATGGTTTTTTTGAGAGGAATGGACAAATATCTGGAATCCAATTAGGAAAACGGAAATGAGGATGGATAAGGATACAGTAAAAATCTCAGAATTAACACATAGTATGCCAAATGTTAACAGGGAAACTCATCCCATGTGAACAGGGCTGTTTTAAGAGTAAGAGGGTATTAATTACAAGATATCAAGTTCAAAAAAATTATAGGAAGCATTTCAATAAGAAATATCATTATATGATATATTGGCTGGGTGGTGGCACTCAAAGAGTTGTGACCAATGGCTCGATGTCCAAGTGGAGGCCAGTGACAAGTGGTGTTCCTCAGGGGTCGGCACTGGGACCAGGGCTGTTTAACATCTGTGTCGGTGACATGGACAGTGGGATCGAGTGCACCCTCAGCAAGTTTGCAGATGACACCAAGCTTTGTAGTGTTGTGGACACGCTGGAGGGAAGGGATGCCATCCAGAGGGACCTTGACAGGCTGAAGAGGTGGGCCTGTGAGAACCTCATGAAGTTCAACCAGGCCAAGTGCAAGGTCCTGCACGTCCAAGCACAAGCACAGGCTGGGTGGAGAATGGATTGAGAGCAGCCCTGAGGAGAAGGACTTGGGAGTGCTGGTGGATGAGAAGCTCACCATGAGCCAGCACCGTGCGCTGGCAGCCCAGAAAGCCAACCGTGTCCTGGGCTGCATCCAGAGCAGCGTGGGCAGCAGGGCGAGGGAGGGGATTCTGCCCCTCTGCTCTGCTCTCCTGAGACCCCACCTGGAGTGCTGTGTTCAGCCGTGGCGCCCTCAACATGAGAAGGACATGGAGCTGCTGGAGAGGGTCCAGAGGAGGCCATAAAGATGATCCAAGGGCTGGAGCACCTCTTCAATGAAGACAGGCTGAGAGAGTTGGGGCTGTTCAGCCTGGAGAAAAGAAGACCACATAGCAGCCTTCCAGTACCTAAAGGGGCCCTACAGGAAAGCTGGAGAGGGACTTTTTACAAGGACATATAGCGATAGGGCAAGGGGCAATGAAAGAGGATAGACTTACATTAGATCTAAGGAAGAAATTCTTCCCTCTGAGGGTGGTGAGGCACTGGAACAGGTTGCCCAGAGAAGCTGTGGCTGCCCATCCCTGGAAGTGTTCAAGGCCAGGTTGGATGGGGCTGGTGTAGGGGAAGGTGGCCCTGCCCATGGCAGGGGGGTTGGAACTGGATGATCTTTGAGGCCCCTTCCAACCCAAACCATTCTATGATTCTGTGATAATGGGAGATAAAGCCACAGAACGTTTTCTCCAAGATACTGTAAATATCAGAAGCTTCCTCATAAGAGGTCAAGTGATCAGATTTAATTGTAGAAAAATGCATGAGCAGTGCATTTGGATTCTTTTGAATCAGGAAGTTCCCAAACCACAGACACGCAGAAGCTGTGGCCGCGTGCTGGTTACGTTTCACTGCATGCTTGCTTTGTTCTTGTCCTCCTCATTGTAAGAGGAGTCTATCAGTCTGTGATTGACCACTGTAAAACTGGATGCTGGGATTGACAAACTTTTAGTCTGGGCTAACCTGGTTGTTCTTATATCACAAACATGCAACCATCTCTCCAAAATGAAACTTGCTACCACCAACTTCTCACATTTACATATTACAACCTGTTTCACTTCCAATTAAACTTAAGACGTAAAATCTACGATTAACACAGTCCTTCTTCCTGGCATCACAGATTGTTTGGAAAGCACCTAAAGGAACAATATTACTCTCAGATTTTTCAGCTACAGCTGCCTGCCATTAAACGAAAATAAACGATTTGCTTTAAAAGAAAACTAGAATTCAAAATTCGATTAAACACGGTGCACTAGTAAGAACTGGTTCCTCGTTGGGGTTAAATACAGTTGTTATCACCTCTCAGGTTTACAAGAACTCTCTCTCGTCAGGTTGCAGTGGTATAGCTGAGAAGTGACTTCTTGAGATCAAAGTTTCAGGTAATTAGTACAGGACAGAACTAAATCAAGCCTTTAGCCTCCAGCATTGCCAACCACCTGCAGAGGAAGCAATGTGCTTCCCTGGCTGGCAGCTGTAATTTTTCCACCTATCTGGGAGCTTGTTCAGGGTTAGGGTTGGGGTGGTTTCTGCCCCTTGGATCACTTCTATCACTTCCTCCTTACGTCTCCTTGCCAAAGGACTGGCTTCCTGATCAGACTCTTCCTCATCATCATCATCCTCCTTTACTAATTGATGGTGCAGTCCTCTTGACCTCCGCTACCAGTGCTTCCTATTTACTACTGAGGAAATCTCTGTGGTGGAGGTTTGGGTTCCTGTCTCAACCATCATGCCCATTTTTGCCTGCTGCTGTGACAGTGCTAGACAGAAGCCCGACAGGCAAACGCCAAGCCCCAAAATGGTGCTAGGTGCTGCCGAGTCTCACGGGGGTAGGCAAGGCATCCTTCCATCAAGCAATATGTCAGTTCAATGAAACTGTACGTCTGTTCAGGTGTAGAATCCCAGGTTGTAGGAGGTGAAAACAGCCTAGGCACCTTCCCAAACCCTCCTACACACCCTGTCACCCAGGGACCAACTGCCTTGGGGTACATTTCTCTGTCTGCTCAACGACAAATTGTTTACACTTACGCCAGGACCAAACCACACACCCAACAACAAGACAACAATGTTGGACAATAGGGTCAAACATCTTACATAAGGATGTATAAAAAACTCAGGAGCCCCAGCAACAAAGCTGGACACATCAACCCCAGAGGAGATGAGGGAGGTGTAATCCTTTGTTGTCTCTGCAAGATAGCTCATGCAGCACAGGAAGAGCATCACAGCCAGGGTCATATGCCAATCCAGGCACACAGCCATTGCTTTTATCAAAACGTTTCCAAGCACAGCAAAACACATGGATAACAAGCACAGCAAACAGCACGAGCCAAAAGCAGCCACTGAAAAGCCCGAGACTCCAACACGCAGTAAATCAAGAGAGCTCTGTGACCCACACAGGAGCCTGCCAATTAAAAATTTAACATGCTTAGATCAAAATTGTCATTACCTCAAGCCCCATGCTGGGTGCTAAAAAGGACTGTGATGAGTTGACCCAGCCAATGGCCAAACATCCACACAGCTGCGTACTCACCCCCATCTCCCACGGGACAAGGAGAAAATCGAAGTAAGGTGAGAAGACTCATGGATTGAGAGAACGACAGTTTAACAAGGAAAATAAAAGCCGTGTGTGTCAAGCAAAGCAAGAATAGGAATTCACTCATTAGTTCCTGTAGCCAGGCAGATACCAGACACTTCCTGGAAAGTCAGGCCCCAGCACATATAATGGTTGCTTGGGAAGAAAAATGCCAGAACCATTACCTTCCCCGCTTTGTCCTCCTTTCCATGAGATTTCGTTGCTGAGCATGCCACTATAGGGCGTAAAACATCCCTTGGGTCAGTGTGGGTCAGCTGTCCTGGCTATGTCTCTCCCAACCTCTTGCCCACCCCCAGCCTACTCCCTGGAGGGGGGACGGGGTGCGGGGCAGGGTAGAGTGGGAAAGAGAGAAAAACTTGACCTTGACACTCTGCAAGCACCATTCAGCAATACACAAAGCATCCCTGTGTTACCAACACTGTTTTAGCCACAAATCCAGAGCACAGTACCATACAGGCTGCGGTGGAGAAAGTTAATTAACCCCATCCCAGCCAGACCCAGTACAATGACCCTTTGAGGGAGTCCCCTTTTCTCATTCCCACTGTCTGTAAAGTGAAAAAAGACTTTTAAGGTGGTACCCATGACCCATGAGGGAAGCAGAGAATACTGTCACAGAAAACTTGTCACAGATGACAACC